TACTTCCACGAGCATCGTATGGGGTTTCAGAACCCCAACTGAGAAGCAGATCACACACGTGTCAACGAGACTGCGCTTGCTTCTCCTCTGTCTCGCTTTTCAAAGTTCCTCCTTTTCCTCAATCTGGTGCTATTTATCTTTTTCCTCCTCTCGCGTCCCAGTATTTCACATTTCTGTCCAGACGACTTGGCACGTGCTCGATTCATGCGCTCGTAGGAATTACGGAGCCTCCCTGAACGCCAGTTTAGATCGTACAGTTCCAATCCTTTCGTTCGCGAAATCGTGATATTTGCGCTCGTCATACTTGCGTATTCTCGTCTGTATCCTCGTGTAATTAATAATAGAAAAAAAACTTAATTAGAAATCGTTGGTCAAATTTAAATTCGTGAATTTGCCGACGACAATATTCCATCTAGACGACACTGTGTTGTATTCGAAAGGAAACCGGCGCACAGGACAGGTAGAGAAACGGTATATGCATTCACATATTAAAAATTATTGGGCTATCTACATCCTGCTCGGCCCAATACGGCTTTCTCGTTTGTCTGATTCATATCAGAATGGACCCGTCCAACTCTATTTGTTAATTAATAATATCACATAATCTTCCAATTGCGCGACACTCCCTATTTGCACAATAATAATATCGCGACAAGTTTTCCGTTGCTACCTGACAATGAAAATAATTTCGTAACTCGTTAGAAACGCGCATTTCTCACTTATGAAAAAGAGAATTTTCGAAATTCTGTTTTCCGCTTTTAAACGATACTGACGTAAGGCGTGTGTGACGCATAGATAATTGGGAGACCTATTTTTCGACAAGTTAGATAAATTCGACGAACTAATTTCTACACGCTAATTTCTACAAGGCTAGCGACCATGACCGTAAAACATATAGAATTTATACAAAATTTATTTCATTGCTTATTTTGCACCAGAAATTTCGATGAATATCACACCCTCAGAAGGATTTCTGTTACCGAAACAAAAAATATTCTTGACGCATTTATATTTCTCACAACCTCATTTAGTATAAAAATAAGACAATATCAAAATAAAATCAATAATTCTTATTCTCCTTTATCGAATTAAAAAAGATTGACTTACTTTATTGAGACAAGAGTAACTTATATAAAACTTATGTAAGTTTACATATTCTTGCGTTTAGAATAAATTTCTCTCCATCTTACAACGCACGAAGTTGGCACCGACATTGGACAAAAGACGATACGTACTATCATTTTATTCTAGATTTGAGAATTTTTTATTTAAGATTAAAATAAATAAATTAAAATATATTCCTTTCCCTATAATAAATATAATTCGCGCTGTATCGATCCCATTTTATGATACATTGAGGTGTTATAGCATTGGATCCGGAAATTTTTCCTGTGGGTGCGTTATCATTTTCGTTTCTTACGGAAGGGGTTCTTAAAGATTTTTTGAAAACTCTTAATCCTTGCGTCCTAGTGATTTTGCCGCGAAACTACTATGAGCTTCTTTGAGTTTCTCGTTGCTACTCGAAACTTTTTGCAGACGCGTACTTGAATCTTGGTCTTATTTTTTAAAACGTGAGATACAGAAACAAATAAACACCATTAATATTATTTTCTACTTATCATTGTAAATTTTTTCTTTAAAATAAGGATTATTTAGACACTAACACATCCTGTCGCGGCTCTTTAGTCTTTATTCCTCCGAATTTGTGCTTGTCACACGAGAGCCCTACGCATTTCATTATTTCGACTAGTTTTCATTTTTGAAATTATAAAAAAAAGTTGTTCACGATCGACAGTTACTTATTTGTGCGACAAATAATTTGTCCTTTTAAAAACATATTCTTATACCGAGCCGCGGAAGGTTAAAGATCTAGGGGGGACAAAAAGTGCCTTCAGTCCCGAGGCCAGCTACTCGAACGTTGGGAATCAGCTGATCCGTTCTGCTGAGCAAACGTATTCGCTTTAAACGCGCGACGGCAGCGCCGTGAACGCCGCCGCGAGTGGAAGCGCGCGCGCGCGCGCGCGCCTACCTATACACCGTCAGGCTCGCGTACCGCTCTGAACCTGCCGCCCATAGCGTAGCGGCGGCGGCGGTGGCGGCAGTTCGGTTCCGATGTTCCCGCGCGGCGGTACGCGGCGATCGAGTGCGCGTCCGAGCGTCCGTTGTTTAAATCCACCGCCCACGCCGCTCCGGCCGAAGTGCCTCGGCCCCGACGCGTAACGGCGAGTGTCGGCGCGAGTGGCCGAACGATCGCGCGTAACGTCGATCCTCTCGAACGGCGCTCCGACCTCCGGTGTTGGTGTCCTCCGTGTGACGGACGTATCCAGGGTATGCCCGAGGGATTCTGGCGCTTCTAGTTGCGTACGCGGGCGCTCTATCGTGTGCGATTGAGCGCGTGATTTAGCGCGCGACACACTCCGCGCTCGGGTGAACAGGTGCACCTTAGCTTTCGTCGTCGCCCCGCGACACTTCGTAGGTATTGCGTTTTAGCTGAATGAAGTTGAGCGCGGTCCGAGGTGCGCAGCGGTGTGTATGGAATAAGGATTGTTGGACGGAGGAGAAGTTGGTTTAGATTTATTGGGACTTGCGTCAGTTCATAAATTACCAATTGCTCTACTACGAGATAGGCTTCTAATATGAGACAGCTGGTTTTCAACGGCCCAAATTCAATCGCAAGTGAACTTTCGGCTAAACAGATTTCGCCGCGAGGACAATAGATTCATGGTGGAATCAACCGGCGGTGCCTGTTAATTTAACAGAAACCCCGCTATCCTATATTAGGATCTTATAATAGGTGGCTTTCGTCTACGTTCTCGTTATACTTTTCATATCTTGTTTCTAATGAATTTTATTCGTTTCTCTCTGTTACGCACTTACACTCGTCGCTAGTTACGTTGTTAATTTTTGGATACATAATTTATTTTACGGCATGTCGATATTGTACATTAATGTTGCATTTCGTTCCTTATTTCAGACACGTCGGTGCAATATTTCGCGCAATATTTAATTTCTTTCTTACGCTGGTGCGGTTCGGAGTTTTTTTTACATCGATAGCTTGTACATTTACAATATTTAATGTGTACTTGATGGAACAGCGATAAAAAAATATATATATTATATATATTTTTTATATTATAACTTCACGTCGCATTTATCTTGACGCCGAATGAAATTGGCATCATGAATGTCTCCGCATTACTTCAAAGCGCGGTGTACTATTCGAAATGGAGCTTCTAAAATATTTCTCGTTATAAATAAGGAAACGGAGCGCGTTGCATAGAATTTAAATAACAAGATACGGAGTTATTTTTATTGTTATCAGATAGTAGACGGAGAGCCCGCGGTTCGTTGTGCGACCGAAGAGACTCGTAACAGGAGATTATGTAACCTTATTGCTTATACATACTGTATAAAATATAGACAGGAATCTGTAGTCAACTAATAAGAATATTCTTAAAAGTCGCCGGCAGTAATTAACAACGTCAGTGATTTTTGTCGACCGTATCGGGCAATTTAATAATAGTACAGAAAATGATATGCCTCGGTGGTCGAATTGGTTGAGACGCCCGCCTAGAGTGTAGGAAGTCCAGGTTCAAACCCTGGCTGGGGTAATATTTTTCGCAATAAATTTTCTGTATCATTAAAATTGCCTGATACGGTCAATAAAAGTCACCGATGTTAAGAATCAATCTATACATTTATCACGCGCGTAATCAGGCAGATAATATAACTTCGCGAGCGGGAAGAACGGGATTGCGAATCGAAAGCGAGGGGGGAAACCCCCGAGGGCATTGCGGTGTACAGATTTGCGGCATTACCGGGCATTACTAGGTATTTTTCGGGCATTATAAAACAAGATGAAATAAGATAACACAAGATAAATAATGTAAAATAAGATAGCAAGATAAAGTAATGCCCACTGGGCATTAGTGGGCATTGGCGTACAAGATTTTGGTCAGCGGTTTTCCCCCCTCGATCGAAACGTTTGGGAAAGTATTGATGGCCAATTGTTGTTTTCCTTTTTACTAATGCACAGCTCAGTCCCTTCCTTTCGCGTGCAACGAGAGATTTTTTCCCCCGCGACGTTCCTGCGTGTCTCGTTCTTTTCCACGAATGTCGCCGGAGCCTCGAGCCACGCAGACTCTCTTCCTGCGCGAGAAAGAATGGGGAGTTCATAGATAGTCGCGCGCGGAGATTAGGACCGATTAGGTTCCGCTGCGGACCACGACGCCGGCTGTCGGCCGGCTCGCGCGCGCGCGCGCGCACTCGACGGAGAGTCCGCTCGCTCGGGCTTGTTTACGCGCACCCGTCGCCGCAGCTGTTAACGAAAGAGTAACGACGCACTCGACTCCGCCGCCGGGTCGTACGGCGAAGGAGGAGCCGCCGATGTAGGTGCTTTATTGCGATTTTTTCCGGGCAACCACTCCGGCGAGAGAGCGCCCGGGGTCTCCACGGGGTGACCGAAATAAATCGCCTCGCGAAATTTAGGGCGTCTACGAATCCGCGGGCGCGCGCACAGATCGAATTTCTCCTCTCGATTATTCATCCGCGGACATTCTCGCAAATCGCGCTCGGTCGTGCCTCTCCTGCGACGAACGTAATATTTACGGCCCGCGATTCTTTTCTCGTCCTAAGTTGCTTATTTTGGTGAATCGTGTTCCACAGTACGAGAGAGAGAGAGAGAGGGACACGTGTTAAACAAGTGATTGCTAAAATTCACTAATCAGGGATGCTGCGAAACGCACAGTCATAGATTAAAATATTAAAATATCATACACTCTTTTCTTTTTAATTAAATTCCCCGCAATACATTATTTTGAGTGTTTTTTTCCTAAAGGCCTACGTCCACTAAAACTTGGTCCAAGTTCTAGTTCCGAGAAATGTGTAGCCAGTCAACTTGAAATTTTTATGGAATAGCCGCAAGTTGATTGGCTACACATTTCTCGAGACTAGAACTTGGACCAAGTTCTAGCATCGTGGACACAGGTCTTAACCCTTTGCACTCCGAATTATATTTCATCTATTGTCATCTATTGGTTTGGACTTGAAAAAATGTCGAGTGAGACTCGACAAAGAAGCTCCTGAGATAAAAACTGAGTCACACGCGACATAAGAGTGTAAAGGATTAAGATTGTCACGCGGGCAATCGCGAGGAAGAATATCGCGGAATCGATCCGACGTCCTCGATAGATCGATAACATGATTAACGCGAGATCGCGCGGCGGTTAGACGCCAGGTTTCAGCGAACAATCCTCCGCACTGCCAGCCACTCCACCTTTTTTTGTCGCTCCGAACCCGATCCTTCAGTTGGTCGTCCGATCGGAACGATTGTGTCCCGACCTCGTCGTCCGGCGACGCATGAGAACCTGCGACGTCCCTTCTCCCTTCATTCGATCGTCCGGCGAGAATGTCAACCCCTCGTGTGTTATTGCGCACTGCGATGTACAATGTGTCACAACACAGAATTATCGAACCCTCTTAATTAGATGTCACCGTTCACTTAACAGACTTAACTGGTACACGGAGAGATTTTTTTTTAATTTACCCTGAAAACCATGTGATCGTGGGACGATCTGGGAGAGTTTTCTGAAATCTTACCATACATTTGACTAATAGAATGTAAAGTTTCAAAAAACTATCATGAAGTTCTTCAAAACTCCATGTTGTCCCACGAATACACGATTTTCAGGGTAAATTTTAAGAGAAAATTCTCTCCGTGTGAGCTTTGATCGTCAGTGATGCGTCAGTAAAGAATCAGATGCGATTTTGAAACAACCTGTAACCACGGTCGTCGATTTCTGCGGGCTATTCGTGTTAAGTTGCACGCACCGATTGTCACGAATGTTCATTGGCAGTCCGGTATTGATTGGCGATTAATGTATTTAAATTACCTCCGTTACATATTACGTGCGTATACATTCGCAAATAATCATCGGCGAATATTGCCGGGCGAGCGTGTAGGTACAATATTTGCGTCACGAGGTCTATCCCCGTGCCGTTCCACATTCGATCCCGTGTAACGTTACGCTTAACAATTAGCCATTATTGCCTCGGGCCTCCGTACACCTACGACCAGTTAAGGCAGGACGGCGAAATGAGGCAAGAGTGAAATCTAAGGGAACGCGAAATAACTTTGCGCGAGCGCGCACGGCATCGCCTATTACATTACGGCCGCGCGGTATGAATTACAGATATTAAAGTGCCCGTTTTACAACCGTCGCGCCACACGCATCACCGTGGAAGACGTAACAATGACTGACCACACCTAAGCGACCCTGACAATGCCGCCACTCGACAATGCTCCTCCCGCCCAGACAATTCTGTCTACGCAAAGTGCACTCCTACTCCTTTCCCCCATTATCTAACGCCGGGGCTTTCTTTACTTCCGCGAGAAGTTTCCCCGAAGAAATTTCTCTTCTTACCGTCTTATAAGATATATACCCCATTTACATTGGAGATAATGCATCGCGGGGAGGATTTAATTAAAAAGGAAGGAGCGTTTGATATTTTAACATTTTATTCTATAATCGCGTGTTTCGTAACATCTCCGATTAGTGGATTTTAGTAATTGCAGCCGTGGACAAGATTATTAATGCACCCTCTCAGCGAGCACCGGGCATTAGTTACATTGCATTTATGTTACAATCTCTCATTCAACAATGTAAATGTTACATACCACATGTAACATCAATGCAATGTAATTGATACTCGGTGTTTACTGGGCTCGCTACTTTTACCGTATGTGTAATTTGGCGAAACACTTTTCGCACGCTTTCTTCTGTGTTAAAAATCGCGACACGTGACTTGAACGTCACTTACACATTCCTTACCGTTTGAAAATGATCCTTTTAAATGGCAAGAAACGTGTAAAATAACGTACGTCAAGTTATATGTTGTGATTTGAAACGGAAAGAAGCGCGTAAAATGTAACCCACTTAAATTTCCAATGTACACTGCACCGAATACTAGAAAAATTTTTATTGTTTACTGCATAGAAGCAATGAACGGTTTACTAAACAATTAAGAAAAGAAGCAAATTTTCCAGATATTAGATTCAATACAGTATAACGAGGGTGCCTAATAATTTTGTCAAATGCGGTACTTAACACGTGTCTCTCTTGTACTGTGGAATATAATTCACCAAAATCAACACGATACACGTTTGTTACAATATCTCGTTTCGGTCGGGTTGAATGTTAATGATAGACTTTTTATCGGATTTTACGAGGATTAATCTAGTCAAAGAGAATTGTTGGCTATAACGAGGGCCGATAAGATAAACAGTCTTCCCACGGTCATTCTCGCTATCAGTTCGGCACTATTAGCGCTACACTGAAAAAAATTTCTGGTTGAATATGGACGAATCAGATAATTCCTTTAGGATTTACCAGAATTCCTGTAATCCTACAGAAATTCTGGTAAATCCTAAAGGAATTATCTGATTCGTCCATATTCAACCAGAAATTTTTTTCAGTGTACGATTCGGTATAAAGGCGATACTGTTACGCAACGGAAGCTTTCCAAAATTTTACGTCCCAACGCTAATGACGTGCTTGAGTGGAGAAAAAAGACGAGGGCTAATCGCCCTTTATTAGACAAAAAGATGATCGGTCTACCGCAAACACGAGCGGGACGACGATCTATCTGTCTGTCGTTGAAAACCGCCGTTACTTACGTCGCGACGTAAGGTGGCGATTATGTTGTTACACGTATATCTATATAGAGTTGTCGGTTTTTTCGGCGGTCTATTCCCGAGCCCGATGACGGACTAGCGATTAATCATCGCGTCGTGTTATTCTACCGAGTGATCCTTTTTAACTCCTTCACGACCGTTCGTGCGTCGCGACGCGAATGAAACGTTTGACATCCGAAAAATATAGGGGGGTCATCTGAAAAAATATCCGCAAATACTCATAAATTTAAAACGTTTGTTTGCAAAAAGTAATTCTTACCGTTTAGTTAACGCAGGTCAATCAACCTTGATAGAAACAGATGAACATAAAGATGGTGCGTCAGCGAAGTACGCGATTAAAAAAATACCGCGCTCGATATTATCGCAGAAGAGTGACTTTCTCATTATTCGAACGCCCAATCGTGAATTGATTATTTTTCTCGCCGCTCGTCGTATAATGCGATTTTTTTGTGTGCAGGCGTTTACTTTATACAACACTTTCTAACACCGGTGAATTGTTCTCGAAGAAGAACGCCGTGGAAAATTGTTCTCGCGCGAAAGTTTAGTAAGCTTCGTTATTGATCCGTCAAGTATGCAGTCGTTGCTCGCCCAGATGAGTCATGATTACGAGTGTAGCGTCATTCTGTTGTTAAACGTCTCGCGAGATTGATTACAGAGTATGCCGTTCGCGGAATTGTTTTATACCTCGTTCGCCGTAGGTGAGCACGTTGGCGCAACCTACACCTACACTTGCATATATTACTGATTAAAGTATGCTTACGCCGGGACAGCACGAAATATTATACATTACGAAGCACAAGCTGCGGCGAGGAGAAGATATACACGATATCCATTCGCCGCGGCTTCCTTTATCTTCTTATCAGAATATTGAATTATTTTACAAAATATGATATTTCCGCAACGCGTTACGCATTACAGAGCTGACGGGTTTTACTAACAATAATACGGCCAATCAAATCGTGCGGTACAAACACCTGCCCAGTTAGACGCCCCGATATCCCGTAAAACCTAAACATTTGTATTTCCGCGATATTTTCGTATTATTTTCATTTCGAGCTTTGTTTTATTATTTAACGTGCGGCATTGTTATTCCCTTAATAATCGCGCGACGCGCGGTTATTCAATTCGCCCCGATGTACGATAAAAGCAATTAAAGCATTGTGCCAACGCGCGCGTCGCCGCGGGACGTGTAAATCGCGATATACAAAGCCCGCGATACGAATTTATTTCGTCGGTGTATCCGATAATGCCAGGCGCAATTTTTCGTTTGACGTAAAACGCCATTTCGCCGTCGTCGTCCTTGCCGTCATGTAACTCGGATCAAGTCTTAATAATTAAGCAAACGTTTGAAACGATACGTTTCCACCGGAAACGAACGAGCGCACACGTGCCCGACAGGATCTGCGCCGGTTAACGAAAGTTAATACCCCCGGGGCATTGAATCCTCGTTACACCGCGGCGCCGAATTATCCTATCAGATTGTTCTGCTCCCTGGATTCGCTCTTAACTGCCCCCTCCGAGGGGGAAACTGCTGAGGGTATTGCGGTGTACAGATTTGCAGCATTACTAGGCATTACTAGACATTACTAGGCCTAGTATTTTGGGCATTAGTTTGGGCATTAGGCCTTGCTGGGGCATTATAAAGATAAAATAAGATAATGAGATAAAATAATGCCCACTGGGCATTAGTGGGCACTGGTGTACAAGATTTTGATCAGTGGCGAGGGGAAAAATGCTAAGGGCATTGTGGTGTACAGATTTGCAGCATTACTAGGCATTACTAGGCATTTTTGGGCATTAGTTTGGGCATTAGGCCTTGCTGGGGCATTATAAAGATAAAATAAGATAATGAGATAAAATAATGTCCACTGGGCATTAGTGGGCACTGGTGTACAAGATTTTGATCAGAGGCGAGGGGAAAAATGCTAAGGGCATTGTGGTGTACAGATTTGCAGCATTACTAGGCATTACTAGGCATTTTTGGGCATTAGGCCTTGCTGGGGCATTATAAAGATAAAATAAGATAATGAGAAAATAATGCCCACTGGGCATTAGTGGGCACTGGTGTACAAGATTTTGATCAGAGGCGAGGGGAAAAATGCTAAGGGCATTGTGGTGTACAGATCTGCAGCATTACTAGGCATTACTAGGCATTTTTGGGCATTAGTTTGGGCATTAGGCCAGGCTGGGGCATTATAAAAATAAAATAAGATAATAAAATTAAGTAATGCCCACTGGGCATTAGTGGGCACTGGTGTACAAGATTTTGGTCAGTGGTTTCCTCCTCGGCCCCCTCTTTCTGTTTTATTACGACCGCCCCAGTCGAACGGAATTATCACGGTCGTTGCGTCCCGTCGTACGCGTCGCCGAAGCCGATTCAGCGAAACATCATCTCGGTTCGGCGTCAGCTTTCCTACTATCGTGCCGGGATGAGTTTATTCGACGGCGCGCTCTTATTGACAGGCCACGAAACGGTCGACGCCACGAAACGTAACGTGAATCCTATCATGGGGGTCGGCCGGTCGGTTTCTTACCAGCGTGCACTTCTGCACCTGGCACGTAACGTTTCCCTGGCCTTAATTTGCCTTCCGCTCTTTCTCTTTTTCCCCGGGGAAAAAAAGACAAACCAGCGAGTTAACGTTTTTATGATAGTTTCGTTTTTAATTGGTAACAAATGAATCATCGCTTTGCTCCTTCTTTTGCTAATGATGTATGTACGAAACGAAACTCGTAAATTACGGACACGTCTCATTCCTGCGGCAAATCTTTCGTTTTTCATGTCGCTCATTTTTTTTACGTAGCAATAATTATTCTTTTTTACCCCCTTTTTTTCCTTTGTTTTACGTTGTTCCTTTGATACGCGGTCACCGACTCCGTCGACCGTTGGTAGAGACAGCAGGTGCGAATTTCTCAACGATAGAATTCGTGTCACGTTTCAGCAGGTGCGGAGGGGGGGGGGGGACTTTTAACGAGGCGCGACTCGTTAATACTTCGGTCGAGAGCCGGACCTTATCAACAGCTCCGAAGTTACTTCTGATAAAAGATTACGTCTTTGGATAGCGAGACGCTATGCGCGGTTTCGAAGTTTGGTAACGTTGTGACGAGCGGACGAGATAAGTCGCGCGTTGGAGAGCTATTTCCTCTTTTCGCGGTGCGTTCACGTGGTGCGAGATAACGACAAGCGGACGTCGCGCTCGTCGCTCGTGTCGCTTTGCCTTAATTGCCGAGAGCGTCGCCTTTAGCCAGCGAAATTCGCCAGTTCCGGCAATCGCGCGTGAGAAAATTACGCGCTCTCAGCAGGTGGTGCAAACCGGGAAATTTATTGAGTGAAAGTTGTAAACTAGACTCCTGCATCTTGATCGCGTATCCGATTACATTCCCTTTGCCGCTTTCCTTCCGAATTTCCGCGGCAACGGCGTGATAAAGTAGGACAGTAAAATTTCAACCAACTCAGAATAGCCCACTCAAAAAAATATCTTACTAATGCAGGCAGAGTTCTAGGAGTCGCAACAAAAATTTATCGCTATTTTATGTATCTGTTAGGGCTCGTGTCCTTGGTCCAAGTTCTAGCATTGCGGACACGGGCCTTTAGAAAATTACTTGTAGCCTGCAAAAATTATAGCAACATCGTTCTAGTAATACCGTCTGGAAAGTTTAAGTTTCATGGCTAAATATTAATCATTCGCATCGGATGAAAATGAATTTCGGTACCATAGCTAGAACAATCTTTGTGAGGAACACAACTGTTTATGTACCACAATCAAACGTTATAAAGGTCTGCGTTCACGATGCTAGAACTTGGACCAAGTTCTAGCATCGTGGACACAGGAAGTTCTAGCATCGCGGACACAGGCCTTAATGGATGGCCGTCACAGAAAGATTTTCTTCCTAACATTCGCTAACAGTTGAGATAGAAATTCTGTTTCTGTTAGTAAATCGATTAAACATATGCGATTACGCGGTATTGGCTATTCATTTATATATCTCAGTTATTTTTTCGTACCTAGAAAATTGTTGCTGCAGTTGCAGGATAATTTTTTTGAGTGTCATTTTGGAACTTTTACTTCGGGAGGCGAGAGCGCCAGACACTGAAGAGAAAAAGTTGTTAATGTGATCAGTCAGCAGTATTTATTCAGTTCAAATGTATGCTTTTTTTTTAAAATGAACATTTATCGAAACATATATATTTTTTAAGTGAACAAATATTTTTGTGAATTAACAAATATTTGCTCGACTGCCCGTGACTACCACATGTAACTGAATCAAGAAATACATTTTTATTCGACACTTTTTTCCTCAGTGCGGAATCACGCATTTCTCCTCGTATTTCCATAGGGATATCACTAGCCTTCCGGTCTCCCGACCGCGCCGGCATCTATTTCAGTTTGGCGACCGTAGGAACGGATTCTTTTGCCAGCGAGGGGGCGTCCCTCGGACTGCGCGTAACGCATATTGAAATTAACTCCGCGTAAAACACAATCCCTCGTGGCATACCCCATTCAGAGCGTCGGCAGTAGCGTCTTTGTGCACGCAAGAAAGATTCCGGACCCCTGGCTGTTGAGCGCGTGTGTCGGCGAGCCGACAGAATGGTGTCCGACGCCACCTCGGAATTCTCGGACTCGCACGATTCGAGTTGTGCTGGGAGGAGGTAAGTTTGAGAA